TAAATCATCTTTAGCAGAACTTCCTGGCACGGCAGCTGCCGCTGAATACAGTTTCACATGTTCACTCGCCGCCCCCCAGGATAAATTTTCGCCCTGTTTGTTTTCCCACTTTTATGTTTTAATTGTTTGCCGCAAAATTTTTCTGCTCGTGTTTTCACCTCGTCGCACACAAACGTATTTATTATGTGGAACTACACTAGATTTTTCTACACTTTGTACACACAGAGGCTATGAAATTCTGGAAGGGAAATTTATCCACCCACGACCTACAACAATTATTTTCAATTGTATATACGCTTCAACTAAAATACACTTCAAAAACAAGAAAAAAAACATTTTTTTTGTTTAATCAAAGTTAATAATATATGTTTTTAAAACTGTACAAAACAACACAAATATATACCCCCAAACATTGTAGATACCACATCTAAACACACAAAAATTTAATTAATGTTATTTTTCAATGTTTCTCATTTGATCACTTGTATTTTTACTAAAACTTTAATAATTTTTTTTCTGTCTTGTCACTTTGTCACTGTTTTGTTTTGTCATGGAACGGAATGTTTACTCCTATTTTCAAATTTACAATATTGATTAAAAGTATATTTCAAGTACTTGCTTACGCTATTTACTATTAGTTTTACAACTTCAATTTTGAAAATATTTCTATTACATTTTGTAATAATTTTTCAAGTTCATTAGATTAATAATATGATTAATGAAAACTAAAGTAGTTTTAGTATAAAAAATGATAATTAATTATAATAAAGTAATAAGCTTAACCTTGGTACCTTTATTTAGTGTTATAAATTGATTAACAGAGAAACCAGTTAATTCGTCTCTTATTTTAAGCTGCAGCTTTTCAGTTAATGGTTTAATAAATTTCATTAAAAGTTTGTCGTATGAAAAAGCTTAATAAAAGGGGACGCCATCCCTAAGTGTTACATAATTATGTAAACGAAGGAATTTCAAATAGATACAAATGGAAAGAACTCGAGAACATAAAAGTCCAAAAAAAAAGTGTAATGAGAAGAGAGGAGATAATCCGTGGAAGGGAGACAAAAAGAAAATAAAGCAGTCTGCGTGCGAAAGGGCTAAATCGTGTTAATTAAAAATGAGAACCCTTATTTGATTAGCGTCTAGACGTGATAAAGGGATCACAGATTTTTGCTTGTGCACGCTACGACGCACTACAAATTAACGGAAGACGATACTTCTCCCATCACTTTAGTTTTTTTCTTCTTTTTATTCTTCATCATCTTCTTTCTCTAACCCTTTCAAACTTCATGAACATTCTATGTAGCAGTAAATTCACGTCGAGGAGGAATTTATTCCCGAATGTCATCGGCGGTGGACGGATTTACGGCCGACAGTATGATTCGGAATGAATAATGAAAACAGAAAAATACAGTAAAGATTTCGGAAACGCCACTATAAATCCTTGTCCGACGATGGCGAAACTTCGACGCTTCTCGAAATGTAAATAAAAAGAAGAAAGAAGCAAAAAAAAAGGAAATAAATAAATAGAAAAAAGTCTTCGTAAACTATGGAACGTTGACGTAATATTGGAACTGACGCCACCGCAACGGAAGCAACAATATTTTTGTTCCGTCGCAAAACCAACAGTGAATTTGCATGTGCATTTTGTTTTGGCCTCGTACCTCGCATCGCAAATATTTGTGATTTATATTTACACGTTTACTGTTGTTTGAGCAATTAATCATTGGGACGGTCGTGCTTTTATAAACATTACGTGAAATTATATCATTTCACAATATACATTTACAGTTGAATATTAAATAAGTATCTTATAAATGCAACATATGAATGCGAATTCGAATTGTCCGAAAAAAAAACATAATTGGCTAGGTGTTAAGATTCGAAACATTTAATAATTATTGGATACATATGTAAAATTGCATTACAAGTTGAAAATATTTCGCCAGAAAACTCGACATGTTTTCTGTGAAAACAACAAATTTTTCTATTGTGTTCAAAATGTTAACATGTTTCCTTATAATTTTTCAATTTCCCTGGATTAAACATTTCTATTTGTTATGGTGCATCTATAAATTACATGAGACAATTAGGTATACCAACAACTATGTCCACGCTGCAAATACACCACCATACACTGCCATATATTCATGGCTTTTGGTGACCAATGATATTTTGTTTGGGGCCCACAAAAACAGTAGTACTCACTTTACCCATGTCATCCATTTTTATTCATGGAAAATATTGATAAAATATTGATCTATTTAACTATTGCCTAAGGCCCACGACAACCTTAGTATGGTACTAGTGTACCTTGTATACTTGTATCATGCATTGACCCTATTCAGATTTTCATCTTAAGATACATTTCCTAACTCCAATTAGATACCTGTTTTTTCTGGAAAACTAAAAATATAAATCTGAAAAATTCCCGGCATTTCCCACTCTACTCATACATATATAGATGATCAATAACACCTCACTCAATAAGTTCGTAGGATGACAACAACTTTGGACAATATTTGACTTTATTCATCAACATAGTCTCCTACAAGAGTAATACATTCATTCCAACGCTTCTCTAACATTTCGATACCTTCTTGCAGAACGATTTATCTTTGGCCTCAAATACGCTTCAGTTTCGGAAATCACTTCCTCATTGGAGCCAGATCTCTTTCCCTTGAGCATTATTTTTAGGTCTGAAAATACGTCGTAGTTGCTGGGAACCACATCTAGAAAATACGTAGACGTTGTTATTTTTGCTTCACTGTGAGTAAACGTTGTACCCATTTCGAACAGAGCTTTCTCATAATCAAATGTTAATACAAAATGGTGAATACACTACCTTCTGATATCTTCAGGATGTCAGCTACCTCACGCAACTTCAATTTACGATCGGCCAAAGCCATTTTGTGAACTTTTTTTATGTTTTTTGCAGCAATTTTCGGATTTGGCATTATTTGTGTCTGTACGAAAGTGTTTAAAATCAGCAAACCACTTCTCTACCAATTGTCTCAACGAAGAAGAGTCCTCATAACACTTATCAAGACTTTGCTTTGCTTGAACGGTATTTTTTTCCCATCAAAAAGCAATATTTTATCCACATACGAAATTCATATTTCTTCATTGTTTTGAAAATTACAAAAGTAGCGTCACTAAACCAACTTGTGAACTAAACGTCAGATTGTCATGAAATTTTGACAGACGTCGTCTGGAGGTTGGTTCTTCCTAAAATCATATAGCTTTGTCAGGGGCGTCATCCTACGAATATATTGAGCCTGTGTACATAGCACTAATGACCAGAAGAAGTGTAAGAGATCACTAAATTGAAAAATTGATATTAATTTAAAAAAATATATGCTGATAAAGCAGCACAGATATTCAATTTCCGAATACTCAAGAATGTTTATAATTCATGATAACCTCATTCACAAAAAAAATGAATTTAATATATATGTTGAACATATATTATCGATCTATACATAGTTTCTAATTGAAAACGTGCATATATTTATTTTGCAAAGTAAAAAAACAACTTTTATGAGTAAAAAAATATAAATTTTCTCGAATTTTATGTATGTTCTAATGCAGTATTTAAAATTCGTATTTAGTTATGATTTGCATTTTAAAATGTTCACCGACCGCACTGGAAAGTAATAAATTTTCTTTAAGGACGCGAAAGGGATGAAAGACTGTAAAATTTCGAGTGCGGATTGCGAAACCACTTAGCATTTTAAATGAAAACTAACCGCCCTTCTTTAGCCTTGGATGTTGGAAAATTGCATGAGACAATTCTACTGTAATTGCGAATATTTTCCAGGAAACAAATACATAAAAACGGAGAGTAAAATATAAGATAATTATAATAGAATTTTCCATCGTATATGACTAATTTCTGAACGAGACATGATAATTTATTGGAATAATTCACAATCAACTATTTATACACATTTCACAAATGTTGGTTTTAAATTTTGTTATGTCTGATAGCAATTTAAATACTACATCAACACCTCGTATAGTCCGGATTCTCTATAGTCCGGTATGAAAATTACAAAACAAACTACAATTTAATTCAGCAAACTAATAATGAATTCTAAAAAAATAGTATACAATATAATAAACATAAACGATTGATTTATTTTTTGTTCGGTTTCTTTTTATTCGGTTTCAATGTCCTCGATTAGTCCGGTTTTTAAACAGTCTAGAATATTAGCGAAATATATTACTCGTACTATGCGAGGTATTGCTGTATTATTTATATTTAAAAAAACTGTAGTTAAAAGTCAATAGGAAAGTCGATGATACAAAGTATTTCATTAAAGCAATTCTAAGAACTGATTGAAAACAATAAAAATAATAAATATAAACAAATTTATAAATAACCTCTTTTCTGATAATTGATAATTTTACATATATAGTATATGTTGATGCTGAAAGTGACGTAGACAATATAACAGAAACTGATAAGCATTCGCTAAAGCAGGTCCGTTTTCAGGAGAAATTGTAATGAAATATTCAACTAAGATATGGTTAAATATAACAATTTAAAACTTATTTAAATACGTTATAGAGAACAAAGAAAATTCTAAATATGTAAAATAAAAGGATAAAATATTCATTTACAAAATATCGGTCAATAAAATTACATTTTTAAGAAAAAATGAAGATCGAAATTTTGTAATTTATTAAAAAAGGAACATTATGTTTTTTTCCTTATTTTTCATATAAAAAAATATTACATGCGTCAACTTTAAGTCTAGATAACCCAAGTTACTTACCTAGTAAAGACCAATTAATGATAGTGGTCCAACTAAAACGTCGGTCCAAGTTAAGCAACTTTCTCTTATATATTTATAAATTTGATTTACCTACTGGTAAAAATCAAGCTTATCATAGCTCTATAAAAATAACTTAGACGGTCCTGGCGGTATTGATAAACGGCAAACTGATTAGCCTGTAGTTCAAATGTTTATGAATTCTTGCGTATTGTGGTGCGGTTTGAAAACTTTATTTGATTTATTTCTGTTGAAGATGTCTGCCAGTGAAGTTCGATTAAATGTGAACAATTCACACGTTCGATATTCGAACGATTATGGTATGTAATCAACTTATTTTCTGATTTAATATTTATAATTCTTAACATTAATTAATTATGATCAATAATTAATCAATCAATTATATTTTTAATTAATTATAATTAAATAATATTATTATTGTCATATATTGGACAAAAATGTATTACACAAATTTTATTTATTTTCTAAAAAAATATAATTGATTAGCCCTTTGGCCAGCCTATTAGTATATATATTTATTGTTAAAATTTATTTATGTATAAATTATATTTTTTTTTCTCTTCTTCTTATGTATCGATGTTTGGCCAATAAATTATTATTATTAATTATAATTGACTAAAAGTTAATTGCATTTTTTTAAACAGAATTTAGAATGTTAAAACACACTTGATTATTTACTGCATTCAAAACATAAAAAACATCAACGTGCTTAATTAAAAATTGAATTATTGTACACGAATAAAAATTAATAATTTTATAGGTTTGTTATTGTGGCTTATCTTGATTTCTCATAAATACATGTTTATAAACAGTTTATTTCTTAATATTCATTAATAAATTGGAGTTATTACATATATGATTATTTACACATTTTTTTATGTATATAATTTATAATAACTGCAATAATTTTAAATTGATATTAATAAATTTTTTTTATTTTATACAAGTTTCATCATCTTTTTTATATACAAAATATTATTACATTATACAATTATTTTCAAGTGTCTTGTATTTGATTTTGAGTATATTGTCCCAAAAAAAAGATACAAAATTTGTGATTAAATATATTATGTTGATTTGAGTTCATGTTTTCGCAAAAAAGCGGTTTAAGTTTCCTTATTTTATTAAGAGAGAATTCATTATTTCTACTGAAAATTCCATGAAGTTTTGTCAATAATAAAGCGTTGTAATTTTGTATTTACTAAATTTAAATCCGGTGCTCTTATGGGTTTTTATATAATATTTGTATATTGATCCAGATAACAACTTACAACGATGAAAGAAGATTCTTTATGTCTCTCACATATCCGTTTATAAGATAAGATTTTTATGATAATAAAATGTATTTTTTAATAGAGGAATATTGATTAAAAACCTTGAAACGTAAAGCAAATGCTGACATTCCTCTGGCCAGAATGGGGATATGTTTCGTCCTAAAGAAAATGACAAGTTTCTTTTTTTCAAACCACGTCGTTTTCAATGTCATTTAAGCATCTTTTCAAATATTTAGGATAGCAAAAAAATAATTTCACAAGCAAAAATTGTGACAACGTACGGACAAAAAAAAAGTTGAATCAAACAGGCAATACCTTAAAAATAGATTTAGATTTAATTAGATTTAATGTTAGTAATAATAAGACGTTTAATTTTATCTTCATTTTTTGTTTGCTTTCGGTTCTAACAATATTTTCTAAATCTACCACTGACAAACTATCATTCAGCATTCAATAATTCAAGATTCAATATTCGAGATTTATTATTTTATAAATAAAAAAAAAACTGCAATAACAAGTTTATAATATAGATAATTATTTTCCACTAACTGAAATACAAAACATCCGTTTGTGGTTAAGACCTCTTCCAATTTCTGCAGATAAGTCGAAACTTAAAAATATTTATAAAAATATAACATTCAGAGCAGAAAGACTTATAGCCCTTACAAATGTTAAATTATTATATATTTGATTGTATTGAAATACATATTTTTACGTGACTATTGCAATAAAGATTATTATTATTAAACTATTGAAAATAGTTGAATTTGACCACTCAATTAAGAGATAGTATTATAATATACATATTATAATCACTTTCTATTGTATATACGTTTCTAATCACGTAAAACGCAAAGGAAGTAAGTGATATGACCAATCGATGATAGTGAGACCTTGCTGCGTGCAAACATGTTATTTGCACCAACAAAAATATGTTTCTTCCAGCTCACTCTTATACGATTGCATGTTGGGATTCCAATTCTGCTCCAACCCCTACCGATTTGGTATTAATCTGTCCCCTTCCTATAATGAAAACTGCAGCCTCCATTTCGTCGAATGATAGATAAACTGGCCGAAATAAAGTAGGTGTGTGTGAAGATATCATCAGGTTTTACTGCTCGAACGAGTAATAATGTGGTGGCAGGATAATAATCATAGAAAATATCAGCAGATATTTTTTTGATACTTAGTTTGGTCTAACAAAAATTGATAGTTTTTGATTCCTTAGATAACGTGTCCCAAAGATAAGTCAATAAAATTAGAAAATAAAATAGTTGATAGTGCGAGTAATTGTTCCGCCAAACCGGACTAATCAAAGAACTAAATATATTATTTTGTAAAAATTTCAAACAAAATTACATTACATTATTTATAATATGAATCCAACAATTAGTGGAATAATGCTTATTTTCTACCACTACAAAAATAAAATTAAAATACAGCTACCTCACATTGTGACTGTTTGCCAATATCCCGCATTGTTTGAAACTACACTAATCCAGGTCTTTAAATCCGCATAAAATATAGAGCACAAGACTCTATAGAAAAAGAAAACAACGATCATTTAAGTATAAAATGTAATTTTGTGAACTAATTGTGTAGAGATTTGCTTAAAACAAATATAAAAAATTGTTACTATTTCTATAATACATATGAAGCAAATCTTTATTATTTTAAATATGGTTTCGTCATTAAAAAAAATCTCAAAGTTTCATACAGTTTATTTTTGCTTATAAATTTCTAAAATTGACAAATCTAACAGATATGATCTAAAACCATTTTTCAAAAGTTTTCTCCAAATTTTAATACTAATCTCATAAACCATACAAAATTAAAAACATTGATGAAACATTGATAACATCTTAGTAAGAAAAATTTCATAATTTATATTAAGTCATTAAGTATCCGATTTCGAATTGAATGTTTGATGTATAATATCTCAAACAAGAAGTACTATAATTAATCATAGTATGTGCCTAAACTATCTATACAATTTTGCCGATAATGCCAAAAACGAAGAAACCTGAAGAGCGAGTGGTGTTAAAATCGCGAATAGCGTTTAAAGCTTACTGGTAATTTAATATTTGTCCCTATAAGATGTGGTCGAATAGTGATCGTCAGTTGGTGAATATAGTGAATGACTTACCAAGTCCAGCTCTTGCAGTTTGAATAATGTTATTTGTGTGACATTTGATCGAGCATTGTCCTGAAAAAGGTTTAGCCTGTCTTTATTCACCAATCTTGTCTGCTTATTCCCAAGCTCCCTCGTCATTTTATCTATTTGGTAGTCTTATGAAGCTGTATTAGAAAATACCAACGCTCGACCTCCAGTCACTAAGCTTTTTTTAGTGAATGTTTGGTTTCGGTGTATGTTATCCAATCGTTCTGCCGAATGCTTGCGATTATCGATAAGAATCGATTTTTCAACATTCGTATAAATATGGTGTAAAAATCAGTTGCTTTATGTCATAACAGTAAAGAAAGGCAAGCTTAGTATTTTTTTTGTCTGACGTTGTTTATTTTATGCAGAACTCATGTCAAACCTTACTGATAATTCAAGGGTGGTTTCAGGAATATCCGTTTCCATCTTGCTGTCAGGTCGCCACGTGGTTCATTTTGAAGATTAAAATCGACACATTCAAACTTTTCATAGCCACATCATTATACTTTCACAATTGTATTCATATTTGAAAATAACCCTAAATTTTGAATTATCCATGGTTCCAAATTTAATCTACTAAAGGCAATTCGACAGATAATCACAAACAAAAACATTTCACTGAAAGCCGAAATATCTTTACAATAAAGAAGAAACAATCAAATGGTATCAAAGTTGGTATTTCAATATTCGGACATTTCATACTTAAAACCAATAGTATAGTTTATCTAACTGGAGAAAATGTCTGCCTATATTTGTCAATTACAAGAATAATTAAATTAAATTTTATTTTTAATGTTGAATTTCAATCTGAAGAAGAAATCGTTTTTTATTTCTTCTAAAAAATAATTATAACAAGGAAGGGATTTACCTTTGTTTTATAGTTAAATTTAGTGCAATTACTTTCCTAGAATTAAATAAATTCATATTTTGCTTATGGGCGACTAATAGCCGAATGATTAAGTCGCCCATAAGCATACCCACATACCAGTGGTCACAGGCTCAAATCTAGATTGTAAATAAAATTACACGACATAACAAAACGCTTAAGTATTGGACTTAATATTTTATTTTAGCATTGGTTACTGAGTTCAATAGAAATCTGTGTAACTACAAATATAATTAATGTAGGATAATAAACTCATTATGTATAATATTTTATATTTATAAGTTGGAAATTCCAAGTTTAATCTCAGTATTATAAGATATTATAGAAGTAAGATCACGCCTTTAATATCAAATTACGTTCTTACTCATAATTCATTCCATTTATTGATACTGTAGAAATATGTTGTGCCTGTGTGAACGAGAACATTTTCAAATTATAATTTGAAGATATTTACAATTCCAATAAAGTTATAAAATAAAGTTTACGTGCTGTACTTAAAACATTGAAAATCAAGATTAAGTTTTGAACCTTTAAAATCCGTAGTGAAAATTATACCAAAATTAAACCAAAGTTTAAAATAAATATGTTGAGTTCTGGATTCCATAATACAACTACCATAAATAAACAACTGTACAAATACAAGTTTGTATTATTCAGTAAAACAGGTGCTACACGTCTTCAGATGTCCTTGCTCTGGGAAAAAAGTTCTCCAAATAATCGAGATATACTGATTCAAATTAGGAAAGGCTTTTTGCTTAAAACAAATAATGCTAAAGCTGAAAACTCACTTAAAATTCTCATGAAGGCTGGTGTACTATCTTATAAAACGAGTTCTCAAAGCACTGAAACTATAGCTTCATACTCAGTTGTAATTTCAAGATTGGAATTGGAACTCACTGACGAGGATATTGCCATAAGTTTAAGGAATTGCCAATATAACTTCCGATACTGTAAACGTATTATATCGAAAGTGACTAATACAAAAATGCAACTAGTACGAGTAATAACTGGAGATAAGAAATCCTTTGAAAGGATGCTCGCAAGCAAGTATTTTTTCTTCATGAATAGACTATATCCTATTGAAGCTAGTAAAACTCAAAACCCAATACCTCGGTCTTTTGAAAAATTATCATCTTTTGATGATAAATATAGATCATCTAAAATGTGTAAGCAATCCCAAAAATTACATGACTACTCTTCTACTTCTATACCATCCAGATGTAGTGATAGTGACACTGAAAATAGTGAAGAATTACCTTCAAATTACACAAAACGATCACCAAATTCGATTAGATGCGGATATTCTCCTAATGTGAGAAACAGATTCAATAAAAAAACGACCTCCTATCTATATCCATCAAGAATCTCGGCTGTTCGGAATCGTAAACCGTTAACTTTTCATGATTGTATGATGAGTAAGTACAAAGTTTATCGATAATCTAAGGAAAATTGCATAAGTACTTAAAATTAAGTGGCTTAAAGAAGAAGCAATTATATTGCACTTATTTGCATTAATATCATTAAGTATGAAATGTAGAATTATAATATATAACAATATTTATTAAAGCCTCGGCAACCGGAGCCGCATGTGGATAGCGAAAATGAATTTTACTAGCAAAATTTGCGTCTACGTGCAGTTCCCATGACCTTAAAAATGGTTATTTGTTTCAAAAATGTTGCGGACCTTGTATCCTTAAGAAAAAACAAAATAAAGTTTAAAAGTAGCAACTCTGTTAATTATTTATTTAATGTTTCGTAATAATAATTAGTTTCCCAATCGCTAATTATATAAATAGAAACAGACATATTTAAAGAATCCGTGAATAAGTGAAACATATTTAAAATCATAAATCAATTATTTAACAAAAAATATTCGAAGTGTATCCTTCTAGAATGAATTGAGTGAATCATTTAAGTGATTCAAAGCTGAACTATTAATTGACAGCACGTAACCTTCTTGATAAACATTTCAAATAAAATATTGCTGATATTTTAGTCGAGACTTTGTATAAAATATATGAAACTAGAATTTATAATTCTTTTTTAATTTATTTCGATAATTTTCGTTGAAATAATATATTTCGCATTGTTTATATCCTTTTTATATAATTTATATATTGCTTACAGATCCACTCTCATTGACCACAGACGATAAACATGATAACAAAGAAGGTTAGTCTTTTTTTTTATAAAATTAGATATCGACTGATTACTTCAATTTCAGCAATCGAGGATATTATTTATCCGGAGGAAAATGAAACTTTGGAAGCTATACCGAATGAAGATGATAAAAATGCATTAGCTGCTTTCAAGACATCCGCCCAAGGTAAAAGATAACAAAATCCATTCAAAAACCATTCAAATGTTTGCTACCCGAATTATTCGTTAATCTATCATCGTTTTAAGAAGTGGATTATCCGATTTGTTCGCAGTCCAAACTATTTGTTAACCCATGGGTTTTCAAACTATAAAAATTTAAGAAAAACTACTATTAACAACAAAGTTCGCCCTGAGATATACCAATGTTTTGACTTGGGACATCTAGCAAACCGAAAAAGTTTGGAAGCCCTGCGTTAACCCATCACCCACTGTGTACATATATAAAAAATATATTTCTAATTGTTCTTGTTCTTTGTAGGTATGATGGATATTGCTTTGCTGACATCGAATGCAAACCAACTGAGATACCTGACGATGCTCAACCAGAGGAGTGCATTTTACACGCTTCTCATAATTTTGATTAGCACGTCACTGTTTCTGCAAGTGGCAGTAGGAGTTTGCTTAATCGTTCGTGCTATGGGCGAGTACAAGAATCAACCTGAGAGTGCGGCTGTGAAACATATGAACATCTTCGGCACCTGCGCGGTTTATGCGATTTTGATCATCAATGTTTTCATAGCCAGCTTTACGGATATACCAGCACCACTTACATAATTAAATGACAACTCAAATTGATTGCATTGAATGCAAACATGATCTCATTTAGCATTGAACGTTCCACAATTGAATTTTATTGATTTAAAATTATTTCAACAAATGATATATCGTCATTTGATATTAGGTTTTTTATAATAACAAATTGATCATATCAAAAATGAACACAAACTCTTCTGTTCTCATTCACCAACTCACCATTCACCTTAAATGTTCCAAATTGAATAACATTGAAGACTATTGAAGACTATTTCCATGAATCATGTGAAATCATCACATAAATTAGCGTACGCTAAGCGAATAATTATTACTTTTTGGTAGCTCTTATCTCTTAATTAATAGTTTAATCTTCTTCATGACTTATTATTTACTCTGTTATTATAAATTATATTAGTTGAAAACATTGGTATTCGTGTATATGCATTTTATTTCGGAATTAGTATTATTATAAATCGTTGATAAAATAAATACGGAACGAAGGACCATTTCCAAGCAAATAAGAACCATCCATTATTATTTATAAAAAGAAAGAGACGAAAAGAAAACAATGTGAGAGGAGAAAGGATAATTTTGTCCTCCGCGACGGAACGGTGGATATAATCAATATAAAATGGGGAGGCTTTCATTTCGTTTTCGGCCGTGATTGAAACAAACTACCCCCTTTCGTACAGGGTTCAACTCGGCAATGAAAACAAACGACACTTGAAACCGGAAATATTAAACGGACGCCATAATTTCCGGACCTCTTCCACCCCCGGATGGATTATTCAAACAAGTTGCGGTCCCATCCTTTTTTTTTTACCGTCGAGCGGTATTTGCACTTGCAAGGGGATACAAGTCTGCAATAAAATTCTAGTACATAAATTCCGGCAGATGGTTGTAATCGTTGCAGTTTTCGACCTCACGTGCTCCGCGATGAGGGGGAGGACTAGCAGACTCGAATTTTCATACTGCTCGTAATTAGATAAAGTCTATTAGGTACCTTGAGGGTATATGACCTTTTACAGTTGCCGTAAAACATTTACGACTTTATCAAAACACGTTCGGAAACGCTCATTTGCGAATGAAGTATTATATACGCAAATATTAAAATGCACGTGAAACGAAACCGTTAAAATATACTTAGTGCGTCATTCCTGTGCGTTTTTCTTTTGCTTCTATTTAATTTTTCATCTCTTCGTTTAATGAGAGCGCCAATGCACTGCGTTTATAATTAAAAGTCCTTTTTCATATTTTATATTGCGTTTATTTAAAGATCAAAGGACAACAGATATTGAAATTAGCGTATTTTTAAAACGACAAGACAATGAATTTCTCTACTTCAAACATATTTGTTATATAACTGTTGTATTGATATTATGTAATTCAATTAAATATTTAAAAAAAAACAGAAATAACCTAGTTTCGTCTACCGTAAACACATTTCCTATGTAATCATATGTTTGTATTGTAATAATTGACTTATATTGTTTTGCTTATGTAATTATATATATATATATCTCAAGCAGGGACGTCCTTTGGAGGTTGGGGCATAAATATGAGTGAATGAATGGCGAAGAAGCTTCTAAAAAATCTGTGAGAGCATCATAGGTTTGTCATCACTGGTCCAAGAAGACCATGTCTAAATCTATCCCTGATTAGATGCTTCATTCTTCGAAAGGTGTAAAATAAACTGATATAATTCTTGTAGAACGAATATGCGAGTAAGATAATTATTATGAGAATTAGTGCATATTTTTATATTTTGTATACTAAAAACTACTTTTATTTCAATTAAAATAACTATTATTATGCAGTTTATTTTAAGTTTTGTCTAGAACAGCGTTTCTCAAACTTGTAATTGTAATGCACCTTAATTGCCTTGCCTTGACACAAGGTAACAGCTGTCATTTCTCAACCCATTAAACATTTTGGAAGCTTGTCTAAAAATAATTTAAATATACAATATATATGTATGACATAAATCATGAGCAATTCGAAGACTTCTCTTTAGAATCGTAAAATCGTCTATTTATCATTCTCTTTTATACTTCTCAAATTGTTTACATTCCATGCAATTGCATTCTAAAATACTTTATTTCCTCCTTTAATTTATTTTTTTTTCTAAACTATTTTAAAAGATATATCAAATGTTTTATTTAAAGTTTTTGACAAAGCCTAATAAACTAATTGACGTTAAGAATTATAGGTTTCGCATTTAAGATTTTAAGGAGCTTTCACATGAACAACCGCATCGCCTTTGAGAATACTTAATTACCTGGGTACGAATTTAACGACGATGCATATCGTGATTGCATGATCATTATTATCTGAAGCACTTAGCGTACATATCCCAACTGCTTTCCTATCTCTTTTGTATTTAAGTCTGAGAGTCTTGCTTCCAAGATAATTGATGACTCTGTAGCCCGTTTATGGATGGAGAATTCCGTTCCACGTACAGAAACTATTCCAAGCATTGCGCGCTGTTTTCAATCTCACAGTTTGATAAATACAATAAAACAAACAAATTGTTAATTTTCAATAGTTCTTTCATTTAACTAATTCTATAATGTAACTTATTGTGATTAGTTACATTTTGCTAAAGGTATTTTTAGAACTTTTATAATTCAAATATAATTTGTTTGAACACCGAAACCATGCGCATTAACAATAATAATCTAATTGCTTTTAAATTATTATCATGCACATTTTTTTTTCTTGACACAATCATGAACTTACATAAATTTACATCAATTGTTAATATGTATATAAAAGTTTAACTTAAATTTAAAAGTTGATGGCGTATTAGTTAACTGACATTTTGTTCGGAAATCGTTGCGTTTTTATTTAATGTTCGGGAACCGAATCTCTCAAGAATAGAGGTTCCACTGTATTTTATTTTTTTTAATATTAATAAAACAATATGATTATTGTAGGTGTACTTATATACATCGATCTAAGAAACTTAGTTCAAAAAGAACTATCGAGGTTCGTAATTAAGTAGAAGAAAAACTTTGGATGGCCGTTAACAAATTACCAGCAAATGGAATATTTAAAGGCCCGTCGGAGTTTTAGTTGAGAAAGTAGACAAATGCTCATTACATATTAACCAGGCTGCGACTTTTCATTTCGAGGCTTCAGCACGAATGAAAAAGTCCAAAAAGATAAGTAAATTGAATGAAACAATGAGAGACGAAGGACGAAAGTCGAACGAAAGAAATGGCAAAAAACTAATGAAATTAAGAATGCCATGATGCTCTTGGAAGGAATACACTTCAATTGCGACGAACATCGCCAAAAATGATTGCACGATAAACGAAAACAAAAAAAATAATTACAATTCGTTTAAGCGAATAAAAATGAAGTGCGCTCCTCCATCCTCGATACGCATTTCTTTTGTGGAAACAAAAGCACGGATTCTTTTTTATCGTGAGAGCTCCCTTCTTTTCTCCATGTAATAGCATTCCATTCAATTAGGTTTCACTTTTCTTTTAGATTGAGAGAGTTCTAAATTGGACGATTTAAAAATAACGAGCAAATAAAAAGATACAAAAAATATACTAAGGTGTCTTCAAATTACGTATATTTGCAGACAAAAAAATTACATAATAAAAAAATCAATGAAAATTACAAAAAAAAACAACAAAATTAATAGATTGTATAAAATTTAACTTCTGATTATCTGATAGTTGATGACGTATAGATAGAGTATATTTACTACACAGTTTGGACATTGAGAAATTTGTTCGGAAACCGAAACAAATTTGTTTTTGTATTATATTCGGAAACTAATAGTTCCACTGTACATAAGAATAAAGATATTGAATAGATTATTTATAAATCTGATATTAGATTATTCATTGAACTAATTAGTAACGAACGAGAGTTCGGTAAAGCTTTACTGCTGTTCGTTTTTTGTACGTCTAATGGACATTAATGGGTGCAAGATTGGGATAAAACCAATTAGACAAAACCGTTCCGTGTTTTGCTGGAGAATTGAGGACGCGCATCAGGTGAACGAAATTAGCAGCCAGCTAATTACGTTCTCCTGTTTGTGCAAATTACGAATTCTGCAGCTTTACACGAGACACAGAGATTGCGTTCCGGCGCATTGCCATGCTCTAGGATTTGGATTGAATAATACGAAGGATTAAGAAAGGAATTTTCTTCGTCCTTCGAATCCTTAATACAGGAAAATATATTCAAACGTTGCTCAACGGTCTCAATTCTAGATGCTCAGAACCAATTTGTTTTTTATAACTCCCAAATTTATCTCCCTATTTATCTCACTTTTGTGTTACTTAAATCTCTTACATTCCTCACAATCTTAATCTATAAAACCTTTTTATTGAAGGTCAGAAAAACAAAAATTGTATTCTATACCTTAACTATATATAAATTATATAAATATTAAATGCTGTAACTATTATAATAAATAAACTGATTTTAATTGCTCGAGTGAAATTGCAGAGACGAAATTCGAATCTGTGTAAGGTTTTCTCCACTTACAACACTTTATTGTCCATCAGTTTAGTTCTCAAGAGCTTACATGCAATTAGGAACTTGCACAATGTCATTAAAATAACAGTTTTAATGGCACCAGTTACCACTTTTGCATACGATTATATTATTATGTAACATAATCCTAGAATTAAAATATCTTTCCGAGTGTATCAACAACATGTATTCTTTATATAAATGATAATTTAGCAATAAATAAATAAATTTGCAAAATTCGAATTTGTTTGATATATTAGATATTTAATGTTGATGAAATTAGAATTATATTGATAAGCCGCGTCACCTGGTGTCCCCCAATTTAATATTTATGCAAGAAATTTTTTTTTCAGCGGAAAGAGGGAGATCCAATTTATCCGTAATATATAGGCAAAAGGCCCCATAAATTGGGGGTAAATTAAGTCTCCTTTCCCCAATCGAGTTTAATTGACTGTTTGCTTTATGAACGCGCACCCTTCCTATGTGAATTAGTCCACGATGAATCTCTCCATCCGTGTGTATGTGTCCCCAATCCGGATTTTCGACAGCCTGAGCGGATAAATAAAATAATTTGTTCGGGACTTTTTTATGCGCGTAATGGAATTTTCTATGTCGGAATGGGAGGTAGCTGCAAAGGAAGGATAAACCTGCAGATATAAGTAAGGGAGCCATATAAATTCATGAAGTTGCTCCCCACATGACTTATTAATAAGGGTATTCCTTTATTTAAACGCTCTTTTCATACGCGCTAAGAGAGTGCGAGAATCGCGTGAAAAATTCAGGACCTCTGACAGGCTTTGCTTTCCACCCAAGTTTTATTTTGTATTATACTCGTTCGTCCTCCACCTCTTTTTTTGTTGTTGTTGCCGTGTGTTGTATTTGTATCCACGTCGCACACTCACCGCTCCTGAGCTACACTTTGAAGGAGGGTTGTAATTAATTTACGCCCTTTTGTAATCCGTAAGGCCGCGCTCTTTTTCATAATAGCGGGGAGCGCCGCAGGTGAATTTGCTGTAACCGAACGCCCACCGACCCGATGGAATAGCCACTTAAGGATTAAGCTCTTAGCAACACCGGAAAATAAACACAGCTTCGCACAAAGTGAAAGTTCTCTCATGCAATAACAATATACGCTGTTGTTTATAATTATTAATTTCATCTGAAGATTGTACACTCAGCTGGTTTCATTTTTCATATGAAGAAATGTACATCCAATCAGTAACAAACTTTTTACATATTTGCTTAATCTGTTATGGCTGAAAATTGATCCATTCGAATGTAATAAAAATAGGAAGTTTTCTTGCAATACTTTTATTTTATTACTTTTAAGTTTTTCAGTGTATTATTATAAATATTTAATTACTGCTCAAGTTGGTTTCATTTTTTAAAATAAGTTTTTTTATCCCTTTTCTTCATTTTGTATACATTTCTTTATTTGTTTAATTACAAAAAAAATAGATTTTATAATAATCTGATGGTATTATATATTCATATGTGTAATTTCAGTTCTCCAACGCCTCGGTTTCCGAATAATGGTACAATAACAATCAGAATGTCTCGGTTTCCCAACAGAATTTCGTTTCCTCAATAGGAAATCTGGTGACTAAGCACATGGATTATAAGGATTTTTTTCAGCTCTTAATTAATACTACGTGCTGTGGCTCTATAACAGCGGGCGGGGAACTTTTTTAACAATTACCCCAAAATATTTTTGCGTAAGTCGATATTACTCCCCCCATTTTGAAAAGAAAACAATCAATGTAAATTTTAAATAAACATTATTTATTGAATTAATTTACATTTACAAATTTATAAAAAAAAGTTACATGAAAATAGTAAGTATGTAATA